ATGCATACCTACCCACTCCTTGGAAGGAAGGTTGGGCAATCCTATTTCCGTAGTGATACTGCCTCGGAAACCCAAGGAGGGGTCGCTATGAGTCGGGGCCGACTCGACGGCAAATAACAACAACAAATCTGCAGAGTGGCAATATTAATTAAAAAGACTGTCAATTCTTGTAGCCCTTTACCTTGGATATATATCTAGTAGGTACGATCTCTAGGGCCAAACCAAAGCCACTTCCATCAACTTGATTCAGACTCATAGAGTGACCTTTTAGGACAGAGAAGAACTGCCTGTGGGTTTGGAAACCCTGTGGTTTCCAAAGCTGTAAATCCTTCTCATCTTTCTCCCACAGAGCAGGTGGTGGGTTCGAACCACCTACCTTGTGGTTAGCAGCCAAATGCTTTAACCGCTATTAGTGGATAGAGTTCCTTTCAAGGGCTAAGTCCTCCATTAAAAAACCAAACCCACTGCAATGGAGTTAATTCTGACTCACAGCAACTCTACAGGACAGAATAGAACAGCTCTCCGTAGGATCTCCAAGGCCATCATCTTTACGTAAGCAGACAGCCACATCTTTCTCCCATGGAGCTGCTGGTGGGTTTAAACTGCCTACCTCTAGATTGGCAGTTGAGAGTTCCAACTACTGAGCCAACAGGATTCGAGTCCTCCCTACTTCCCCAAGTTTATTCAGGTTCCTACCATATCAACCTCACAAGTCTGAGGCATTTTTGAGATTCAGGTGCCACTTGCCACTTCCTTCCTCAGGAAACAGTAAGGCTGACCATGGGCTAGGAAGGAAACATCTCCCTTAGGCCTCCCTCCACTCCTCCCAGCCTGTGTCCTGAAACCCACAGTGACACACACACATTCAACTCCCACACTTTATTGGAACAAATGAGAAAGGAAACAGACCAACACCACAGGCCCATCCACCAGGGGCGTCCAGGCTTCAGCACCTAGTAAAGCATGAGTGGTCAATAAATACAGGTAACCTGGGGTGGGTGAAGTAGGGAAGATTCCATACCCAGGAAGGAGGCTAGAGGCCCTCTAGTCTCAGGAGCCAAGGCATATACTGTATTGGCACAGTCCACTTACAGATGTACAAGGTAGAAGAGGGCAAGCTTTCCATTTTGCAGATAGGGAGAGAGATGCTCCCTTGTAGAGATGGGAAAGAGATTATATGGGGGGGATTCCTTTTTACATATTTGGAAGAAAGGTAGGTTCCACCTCACAGGTGGGACTGGAAGGGCATAAGGAAAGTATTTTAAATATTCACAGAAATGGATGTGGGAGGTAGCGTTTTGCAAATAGGGAAAATGCTTCTGGGATGATTGGTTTACACGAATTAGTGCTCGTGGTCCATTCGATTCCCAGGTGACAGGAGGGGACATATGCAGAAAAGGGCCCCAGGGCTACAGAACGAGGGAGGTGTACCCCACAGGCACCAGTCCTTCCACTCCATCCCGCCCACAACGGAGCCAGTCTTCATCCACCGTGGCGATGACACGCAGCACCTCCCCACGCTGGAAGCTCAGCTGGTCTGGTCCTGCAGCTGTGTGGTCACAGAGAGCCCGGACTGCCCTGAGGGGAGCCAGAGGGAGACACTGGGGTGAAGTAAGGAAGGCAGTGGCCTCCAGGCCTCAGCTTTCCACTACGTGGAGCGTCCCAAATAGTTTGTTCAGCTCAGTGAACACTGGGCTCTGGAAGACATAGGGACCACTGACATAGTGACTCTGCCTGGGGCCCCAGCCCTCTCCTGAGCAACAAAGACGCTCTTCAGCTGCTTGCTTGACACTGTGCACCTTTCTCTGGTAGTGCTTCCAATTCAACATACAGGCGTACCTCATCTTATCGAGCTTTGCCTTACTAAGTTTCACAGATTCTCCATTTTTCACAAATTGAAGGTTTGTGGCAACTCTGCATCAACCAAGTCTTATCCTCACCATTTTTCCAACAGCATGTGCTCACTTCATGTCTCTGGGTCACATTTTGGTAACTCACAATATTTCCAACTTTTTCATAAAGCTATTGCCCACTTAGTAGACTACCATATACGTGTTGTTGTTGTTATGTGCTGTCGAGTCAAACCCGACTCATAGCGACCCCTCCTTGGGTTTCCGAGGCAGTATCACTACAGAAGTAGGATTGCCCAACCTTCCTTCCGAGGAGTGGCTGGTGGGTTTGAACCGCCAGCCGTCTGGTTAGCAGGCAAGCGTCTTAGCCACTATGCTACCAGAGCTCCTTGTATCCCCTATAGTGGATCCTATTGTGGTAAATGGTACCATCTTCCTCCTTGCAAACCCAAGCATCTGTTCACATCCAATCCATCACCAACACTTGATTAGTATTTGATGTTTCCATCTACTGCTATGTCTAGTCCTTCTCTAAACTGGTCTCTAAATCCTCTCTTGGCCTCCCTCCGCAGGTCCATTCTTCACACAGCTGTCAGAGATCTTTCAAAAACACGAGCAGGCAAATCCTCCCTAGGTGACAAGACCCTTCTAAGGCTCCCACTACCTCAGAAAAAAGGTCTAGGCTCCTCACTGGCTCCAGTGAACTCTCCAGGATACCCATGACCCTGCTGTCATCATCTTCCACACCAGGCTCATGTACCCACACTCTGGCCTCCCTAGCTTTCCATCCTGTTTCCCCTGCCAGATGGACACTCCATCCCATCACCAAGCCTTCCCTGAGCCCCAGAGCCTGGGGTAGAGTCTCTACCATAAAAAACTGATTGCCCATTTATTCATCAGCATCTGTTACTGGACTACCATACCAGCTCCTTGAGGGAAGGGACTCCAATATGTTTACATTTGTATTCCCTCCCCTACCATAACACTTGGCACATAGTAAGCACTCGAAAAAAATATTGCTGAATGAACGAAAAATCAAGACGCTTACTCCAATAGACTGAGAGAAGCCAAAAAAAAAAAAAAAAGACCCCAAAATAGAGGCAGCACATGGTGCCAGATTAGAAGACAACTATAAACGGAAGCACGGTCCCTCAATGCGCATACACAGGCCCTTGTCTGTACACAAGTGGCCCCTAACTGGGCCCCTATTATGTTCCAAATGCTCTTACGAAATTTTTTTATCTTCACAACAACCATAACAAAAAGGTATAATTATCCCCTTTTTACAGAAAAAGAAACTATGGTTCTAAGAAATTAAGTATCACACAAATAAGAAGCAAAGATGCAATGCAAAATAAGCCTTCTAACTAATCTACCTCTAAAGCTTAGAGTGTTACATTACCTCCCATGTGCTCTGTGAGAAAAGAAATACACACAACACGTGGTTACACATCAATGTGTTCTCCCCTCCCTCCTTACCTGTGGGGCTGTGCTATGCTGGGGGCTGAAGCTTCAAGCTCCTCAGGAGAAGAGGGAGTCTCAGGGGGTGCCCCCCGCTTCAGGAGAGCCAACACACTCACTGCAGGGGGCAGCCAACTGGATGGTCTCCTGGAGGCAAAGAGATAGATTTAACAGTGGTTACCCCACCTCCAGAAAAAGAACCCAGGGAGGGAGGGGGAAGCTGAACAGCCTGACTGCAGTTCAACAAAAGAGGTCAGGAGTTTGTCACTACTGAGGGAAGAATAGCAGTTGTGGGACACAGATACCTTTAGGAAGATTAGGGAAGGGCCAATAAACGTCTACAGGCCAGAAGCTGCACAAGGGGCCTGTGGAACTGCAGGGTCTATCCAGGCTGAGATCCAGAGGGTCACTAGAGGACCTGAGGCCACTAAAGGCCCACTAGTAATCATGCCCAAGGGCAGGAGTGGGCAAGTTTTTCTTAAAGGACCAGATAGAATATATTCACATATTTTAGGCTTTGAGGAGCAAGAGACAGAGGCAAGAACATTATGTAACCATTTGAAAATGTGAAAACCATTTTTAGTTCATGGCTGTAGAAAAACAGACTGCCAACCTATGCCCTGAGGAATTACAGGAGTTTCAAATTAGAGCCACCTGGGATTCAGAGAGGGGGCCAGGCACCCCATTACCTGGACTTTAGGGTTCCACTCTCAGTTTCCATGGGGCCTCCAGGCACTCCAAACAGTCTCCCTAGCCATACGCCTCTGCCCGGGGCCACTTCTTCGGTGGGCAAGGGTCTCTCCTGTGTACCCTCAGCTGTGGTCCCATGCCGCCTGGGTCCCCACCGAGGAACAGGGAAGCCTTCGCTGCCCCCAGAGGCATAGACTCGAGAGGCCTGGGTTAACTGCTCCCACCAACTGCCTGGTGTGGGAGATTTGGGGGGGGCTGCGGGGCCCGGTGGGGCCTCCTCAGAGGCCCCCCGAAGACTCTGGGCCAGCCGCCCCCCCCAGTGCAGGAGGGCCTGCACAGTCTGCTGCAGGGCTGGAGGTGGGCCTGGGGGTGTGGGGGCCTGAGATGGGCCTAGGGGCAGGTGGTGGTGGTGCTCAAAGAGCAGGTCCAGGTGAAAGGTGAGCACTGACAGTGGCTGCAGCAGGAGCAGCAGCTCCGTGGACAGGGAGGGGCAGCCACCCCGGGCCAGTGAAAAGAATCCCGTGGGCAGGTACAGGAGAGACAGCAGACCTGGGAAAAAACAGGCCAACATGAGCCCCTGCCTTGAGCTGAAAGGCTCCCCACCAGTCAACAAACAGCTTCCAAGACCTCACTCTGCTGGGTTCTAGGGCAAGGGGGCACTGGGGGGATGACATAGTGAGGTATAGGATTGATCCAACCTTGCCCACGGTCTAGCATGGGAGAGACACACACAGCAAGTGGAGACACATAACAAGTCACAGTGTAGTGACACTGGCTGGGAAGGAGAAGGGCATGGAGACCGTGGGAGCCCAAAAGAATGAATGTTAACACAGGCAGCCAAGGGCAGGGAGGCCTGTCCTAGGTGGAGAAAGGGACAGTGTATGTCAGGTTCTGGGCAGAAAGGAAGAATGTAGGTAGGATGAGAGAGATCCTGGGGCCTCACAGTGGGCAAGAGTACAGGTAGGCCAGATGATCAAGGCTTTGAGGGTCACAGTGAGAATATGGGTCTTTCCTTCTATGGGCAATGGAACTCCTTACAAGAATTTTAACCAGAAAAGTAACAAGATCAGAGACGTGGTTTAAGATCATTCTGGCATTAGTGGAAACCAGCAAGAGATAGCCCCTCCTCTCCCTCCCTCACAGTCCAGCAACCTCATCCCTTCCCTCTGTGCCTCTGACCTGAATCTTCCTGGAGACTGGAAAACCAGAGTTCCAACTGCTTAGTGCTAGGGAAGAAAGGAGGAACAGAAGTTGAGGAAAGTAGGGGGCTCCAACCCTCTCTGGTGGTGAACAGGAGATGAATTGGGCAAGGGGAAGCCTTCTCTGGGGACATAGGGCACCACTCGTGTCCCACCACTTATTGCTCCTATGACACCCTCCCCCCACACACCCCCACCCCGCCCGGCCATCAGAGGGACCCCAGGAAAGAGACCGGCACTCACTTGAGGAGGCCCAGGATGAAGGCATGGAAGCGGCTTCGGCTGCTGCTCAGCGGACCCAGACGGCTGATCTGGCTATACAGGGTTCCCAGGGAATGGGTGCTGGAGCCTAAGGACACCTGGGATGGTCAGCCAGGCCCCGGCCCTGTCCCGGTCCAAGTCCCACACCCTCCTCCCTCACCTGGCTTCACTGACGCCTCCACCACGCTCCAGGCGTTGCTCCTGCGCTGCCCGGTAACAAGGTCTTTCCGGAAAGGCTTCAGCCCGTCAGCCACCAGGGCATGGAGGGCAGGGCAGAGAGTAGTCAGCACCAGATGCCCCACATCTGGACTCAGCCTGCTATCCCCCAACTGGGCCTGCAGGCAGCACAGTGGGGATGGCTTCAGAGGTACCCTCAGCCTCCTCAGGCCAACAGTTTCTATGCCCTTTAAGGCTCGTTAAGTCCCCCAAACATAGGTGCAAGCCTCCCCCAATCCACCTTTACCTTTTGAACCAAGTTCCGGGCGGCCCCAAAGTGCGAGATGATTTTATCCACAGAGGCGCTGACAGCTATCAGGAGACCTGGGAGAGAATCAGGAACGGGAGGAAATAGCAAAATCATCTTTCTCTTCCCGAGCAATACCCAAAGGACACCTCCCCAGTCCAAGAGTACATTAAGGAGACTGGTTTATGCACCGAGGACGGTCCAAGTGGAGTTCATTCAGAGGCCAGGAATCAGAAGAAAGTGAGGTTCTACCTTTTTTCTGCTCCTGAAGCTGGCCAGTCCCACTCTGGGCTTCTGCCATCCACAGCCGCTGGGCCCCGGGGACACCGGCGAACGACCAGGAACTACGGACTGGGATGAAGGAAGAAGGACGCGGTGACACTTACCGCGGGGTGCCTCGTATACTCCAGGCTCCCACATTGGTCATCTCCTGCGGGTCTGCAGCGCCCTTGTGCCTGAAGGGTCTTGGGGAAAGGGGCGAGGGCCGCGGAGAATACGGGGCAGCTCGACCCGGGCCTGGAAGTGAAATCCCAGCACTCGCCGCCCCCTGGGTTCCCATTTCCCTTCCTCAAGGCCCAGCTCCCACCTCCTCGATCCCGGAAGTCCCTGACTGGGAACGGCAGCGTTAGCCTCCCGCCCGCCCGGCTGGGGCCCGTAGGGTGGGAACTGATAATGCAGGGAAGGGAGGGGCAACCCTACGCCGAGCTAGGAGGGCCCCTGTCCGACCCAGGGAGGCCCAGGGAGCACGTGGGGAGCCTGGACCAATGGAAAGACAGACAGACGGAAAAGGGAGGAGAGACCAAGGGAGATGTGCCCCAACTAACAAGAGGCTAAAAGACACTGGAAAGGGGAAACCCGGCCCAAGCCTGCATCTGGGCGGAGAGCGCCCCCAGCAGCCCAAGAGAGGCTGGTCGTGTGGGCGTAGCCAGAACCTCTCCCACCAATGAGCTCCAGGGAGCGTCCCTCTCCACCCTTCCCGAGCATGGTTGGGGTCAGTCTTGAACTGCACGGGCCAAGGACTTTCACACCAGAAGTTGTGACCCAAGGCCTTTAACAATGGACAGCCTGGGACCCCTAGATTGAGCACAGAAGCTGGGTAAGCCTGCGTCCACTACGCCCAGGGAGGACCTGGAGAGAGAGGCCGGGCTACACTATTCCAGCTCGAGGAGCGGGCACCGACTCCGCTGGACTTATGAACTTGCTTGAAATCAGCTCAGGCTGAGGGATAGGGTCAAGCCAGGTAAAACCTGAAGACACTAAAGGCCAAACCAGACTGGAGGGGCCTGAGCGTGGCAGGGGGTGGGGCCGTGGAGTGGGCGGGGTGCCCCGCCTCCGGGCTGGCCCGGGTCGGTCTTACGTAGCCTGGGCGGAGGCGGTGGGCTCCTGATCCAGCGAGGGGCCTTCGACGGACGAGGTGGCGGTGGCAGCGGGGGAGTGGATACCTGGCGGGGTGGGGGAGCCGCGGCGGGGAAGGTGCTACTTCTGGGAAAGAGCGGGGACAGCAGCAATGCCAGCTCAGGGCTGGCCAGGCAGGGCAGGGCCCCCCGAGCCGGAGGCGAATAGGCTCCCACTGGGGACAGGCGGACAGGCAACAGCTGCTCCTCTGGGGAACTCGGCGCCCCCAGCAGCCGCAGCCCAGCGCCAGGCCAGCCGGCCAGAGGTGCTAAGAACAGAGACCCAGCTGCGCCCACGCCCCCACCCTCCAACAGGGGGCGCCCGTCGGCCGAGAACCGGAAAACCAGGGGCCGAGGGAGCTGGAGGGAACTGGCTGCAGGCGGGGTTTGCGGGGCAGGCGTAGAGTCGGGGTGGGGCGGGGGGAGGTCAGCGGGACGGGCAGCCAGGCGAGGAGGGGCGGGAAAAAGAGGGAGCAAAGAGTTAGTCCCTATAACCCAAGCACCCACCCAGACCCTTTCCCTGAGCATTCCCTGATAGAAGGGGGCCAGGAGAATGAGTGACACAGAATGGAGGGAAAACAGGGAATCGTTTGAAGGCTAGAGAGGGTGTGAGCGAGGCCGAAGCCCAGCCCTCCTCCCGCTTCCTCTGGAGGTCTCTTACCCTCGAGGCTGGTCTGCGCACTGGGTTCCTCCGGCTTCTTGGTAGCCGGGGCCTCTTCGCCAACCGGGGGACTTCCCGCCTTGCCTTCCTCGGGCTGCCCCTCCGCAATGGGCTGCAGCCCTTGCAGCCCCGGTCGGTTCTTCTTCCTCCGGGGAGGGACAGGTGGGGGTGGGGGCCGGGGAGGGACCAAGGCCCAGCCAGCTGGGGGGTCTCGGGGCGGGACTGGCGGGGGCGGGGCCCGGCTTCGAGACCGGAGTTCCTTGAAGGTGGTGACCTCCCGCGGAGGCGCCGGGGCGCCGCCCAACGACCCGGTAGGGGGCAGCTCAGTGTCGGGCGAGAAGACGATGAGCCAGTCGCTGCGGTCCTTCTTGGCCTGCGGCACGAGGGGCAGCCCTGGGCCCCGCTTGCGCTTCTGGGCCAGCTCGTGGAAGGACGTGATTGTCCGGTGGGGCACCGGCTCCTCTCTGACGTCACTCCTCCATCCCCCATCAATTTTCCCCGCATCGGTTTTCGAGCCAGAATCAGTTATTCCCGCATTGGTTTTCCAACTGGAGTCGAGTTTTCCAGGTTCCGTTTTCCAGCTGCAGTTAACATTCCCATTGATTTTCCAGCCAGAGTGATTGTTCTCAGTGATCTTCCAGCCAGCCTCCCTTTTCTCTGTGTCAATTTTCCAAATGGGGTTGATTTTCCAACTGGGCTCCGTTTGCCCAGCGTCGATTTTGCCATCATCGGCCTCTGGGAACTCAGAGGTGGGGAGATCCTGCTCCCCGCCGTCGTCCTCTTCCTCCAGCCCTAAAGAAGGGAGGTCCTGGCTGGTGGTCAGGGCGTTGCAATTGGAGTCCAGGCCAGGCCCCGGTGGGGAGGAAGCTCCTGAGCAGGAATCGGGAGAGCAGCAGAAACTGTCCGGTGAGCAGGCAGTAGGGCCTGTCGAAGCTAGCAGGGTGCCCTGCTCCAAGAGGATGCTGCTGGGCTGCGGGTGGGCGTCCTCCTCACCGGGGAGGTCCCGCGAGTAGACTGAGACTGGGGACTCATCGGGGCTGAGATCTGAGCAGGAGCTGAGAGAGGAGGAGCAGCCCGGGTCCGACGGAGAGGCAACCCCCTCTTGCTCCTGTGAGGGGTCCTGCCGGTTTTCTAGATCCGGCCCGTGCTCCTGGCAGCAACGACAGGGCACAGCAGGGCTGTTGGAATTGGCGTCCACCAGGGTCCCGCTGCAGGGACCCCTGCTCTCCTTGCCTCCGGTGTCCCCTGGGGGAGGAGGTGTGCTCAAGGGCCCCTCCCGTAACTCGGGACGGCGGGATAGGTGCAGGCCCAGGGAGACGTGCTGGAGGTGGATATGGTTGAGGTTGCAAAGTAAAGCCCTCTGAGGGGACAGCATGATGCCGCGGCGACGGGATGGCCTCGAGAGAATCAGGAGGCAACCGCAGTTGCAGACCTAGAAGACAAGGGTGGTGAAACCCAGCCAATGAGAGCGTGAGCCGCGGGAAGGACACTAAGGTGACTGACCAGGCGTGGGAAGGCGCCGGTTGCTTTGTAAGATATTTACATGAGATGCAAATGGCATCGATTGGCCATTAGTTTCCACTGCAGTGTTTGGAGGTGGAGCCGAATGTAAACCCCCGGGAAAGGTGCGGGGAGGGTCAAAAAATGCGGCTGCGCTCTTGTTCTCCTCCGGGGTGCAGGGGTTTGGAAAATAATAGGGCCGAGAATAGCCCTCCCCCCGGGTGCTCTCACAGTAATCTGGCCCGACCCCAGCCTACCCTTAGCTCCCAGAGGAAGGGGCCAAAGGAAGCCCCTGCCGAGATTCTATGAGATGGGGCGGGGGGTGGGGTGGACGGAGGTGGGCAACACGACGCATCTGTCTGGTTAATGCAGGAAAGGAGAGGGGAGGATGAGAAGCAGCTGTCAGTTCAACTTCGCATTTACAGGCTGCCCTGCTCCGACCCTCCGGGTCCAGCCTGCAGCGGCAATGAGCCTTCACCCCGCCCTGAGCACCGGTGTGTCGGTCCATCCTCTCCCTACTCGTCTCCATCATCCAGCCACCACCCCATTCCTTCTCTATTCATTTCTACTAGTCTCCTCCCTTGCCTCACCCCACATGCCCCAGTCCATCCATCCACACCCACGGGTCTAGGCCCTCCTCACCAGGGTCCTCCTGCAACCGCTTCCAGCCTTGGGCTCGTCCGCAGCTCCCACGGTCCCCGCCCAGCCCCACAGAGACAGAGGGGAGGGGGATGGAAGGGGCGGGGCGCCAGGACAACCCGCCTGGCGCTGCGCAGCCGCGCCCCTTCACGCACCGGCGAGGCGGGGCCCGGCCACCCCCCAGCACTTGACGTCCTGCTTGCGTCATCCACGTAGACCCAGCTCGCTACTTTCGTTGTATCCTAAGGCTCCACCCTGCTTTCAGTCCGTAGGGGCGCTGGTGTCAGGAACTGTGGTCCCGGCTTAGTGCAGCTCCCCCAACCCTACCATTGTGGACAGAGCCCTCCGGATGGCAAAGGGACGAACGGAACCACAGGAAGGTTAGACAATAATAATTTATTGAGAGCCTCCCCTCCCTGCCCTCGCAGACTCTAGGTCACTTTCTCCGCTTGTAGATCTTGCGTGCCAGTCCCAAGAAGATGGCTGCAGGCAGGGGAGCAGCATGCAGCTCAATGAGACCCATAAGGCTGCTGAAACTGTCTTCCTCGTACTGTTTGAATACAGCAGGCAGCTCCAGCTCCTCATACAATGCCTTCACCCGGGCTACCTTCTCGGGCTCTTTCTGCCCATAATTCTCCTGGAAGGAGGTGGAGACAGGGATACGGGCTTTGCCTTTCCCCAGCACTTCCTGAACCTCTCCATAACGTGCTTGCCCATACACATATTATAGAACATCTTCAAAGCCATGCACTCCACTCCTACCTCCAACTCCAAGTGTCTTCAGGTGTCTAAGTTCCTGAACCTCCTTCTCCCTCCTAGATGTTCAAATATTGGCTCAAGCCCCAGCTTCCTCTACCCCATGGTTTCTGGACTTGAGTGCTATTGTCATTTTGAGGCAAGTAATTCTGTTGTGGGGCTTTCTGAATTGCAGGATGTTTACCAGCATCCTTGGCCTCTACACACTAGATAGATGCTAGAAGCATATACTCTTCTCCCCCACACCGAGTTGTGATAACAGAAATATGTCTGTAGATATGGTCAAGTGTCCCATGGTGGTCAAAATCACCCCTAGTTGAGAACCACTGCTCTATTCTCTTTTTATCAGCTCAGGGACCCAAGACCCCCTCCTAGGCACCTGCAGGATCTGGCGCTGTTCTGGAGAAGCCCGCTGCAGACATTGAACCACCAGCCAGCTGCATTTGTTGTCCTGGATGTCAGTGCCAATCTTGCCCATCTCACTGGGATCACCAAAGGCATCAAGGTAATCATCCTGGGCAGTGAGGCGGAAAAGGAGACATGAAGAGGCTCCCAGGCAAGGAAGGACGAAAACTGGTGCCTGTTCTCTGCCAGTCCTTGTCCCGTCCTACCTGAATCTGAAAGAACTCGCCCATCTCCAACAAGATCTTCTTGGCACTGGCGTGCTCCTTCTCCCCGTCAATGCCCGCCTAAAGGGAAAAGAGGACTGAGAAGCCAGGCCTCTGGAGGGGCCTTCACTTTCCTGGCTGTTTACTCCTGTGGGATCTCGCTCTAGTACAAACCCAAAATCTTCTCTCCTCTCCTCAGATATCCCTGGTCTCTCTGATCTATGAAGTCTAACCATTGGTCCAAAAATCCCACTTATATTTGGTTAGCCCATCTAAGGAGCTCTGCTGGTGCAGTGGTTAAGGCATTTGGCTGCTAACCAAAAAGCTGGTGGTTGGTGAACCCTCCAGTGCTCCATGGAAGAAAGAAGAGGCAGTCTGCTTCCATATTTACAGCCTTAGAAGCCCAGTGGGGGTTGCTATGAATCAGAATTGACTCAGTGGCAGTGAGTTTGGTTTTTCATTTTCCTGGGTCTAAGAATCCATTCTGGAGGCCCTGAGACCATCTTCTCTTCTCTCACAAATCTCAGTCCCACAAGTCACTTTGATCCATCTTTCCAATCTTCTTGCCACCTCCAACTACTTTCAGGATGAAAAGGAAACTTGGGGAAGCAAGGTCCAAGTAGGCAGTTAATGTACTGACTGCCTGCAAATTCAGTCTTCTGCCTCTCAGTCTGATTATCTCTTGTCAGCTCCCATCCCTATTAGGATGCGAGATTTTGTTGTTTTATGGTGGGCTGAGCATATCCCTCGCCTCAATTAACCTTTACAGTGACCCTGTGAGGCAGGAATTTTATCCCCCATATTACAACTGAGGAAACAGACTCACAGTAATGACTTGCTCAAGGTCACAGCCATTAGGTGAGGGCACCAGATTGTCCTAAGTTGTCTATCCTTCCCAACTTCCTTCCTCACTTTGCTTTCCTTTCCCTTCCAGGAAACCCTAGGTATCTCCTGTGCCTTCCTGCCCAAAAACCCACATTAGCAGACAGGGGGGGGGGGGGGGGGACCTTACTCACCATGTACATTGCAGCAGCTACAGGAAGGTAGAAAGAGTAGAAAGCTGTCTTGTACTTGACAATGGTTTTGTATCTGAGTCAGGGGAGAAGATAAACTCTTCAGAAGGGCTGTGCCCACTCTAGGCCTTCCCTCACTGTCCAAACATGATTCCCGCTGTCCCTCACCTCTTTTCAGTGAACCTGCCAAGATCCACGTTGCCCTGGGGGGCAGTGATGAGGTCCAGGGTCTGTCCAATCTCAGTCTGATAGGAACTCTGAGGAGGAAAAAGATGACCCATGAGCTGGGCCACCTTCAGGGACTGAGAACCCTGCCGTCCTGGACCCTACATCCTGTACCGCCGACAACTAGGCAGAGTCAGAAAGGCCGCAAGAGGAAGAGAAGGCCTTTACTGGAGCTAAAAATTCCTGAAGGCCCACATTCATACAAACACACACACTCACACACACACACACACATTCTTTTGTCACCCCTTCTTCCAAGCACACACACACAGAAAAGCACCCTTTGACACTTCACCATTACATTTCCTAACCCCCTTTCTTGCTTTGTTTTCTTTTCTCTTCCAGGAAACCCAAGGTATCTCCTGTACCCTGAAACCAGTTCGATGAGAATGTCCCATAGAGGCCAAGGCTACTGTGGGCTGCCTCTGGGATTAAGCCCTGGTCTGCAGCACACCTGCAGGAACAGCTCAATGAGGTTCAGATAATAGGGTTGCTCCCGGCAGTACAGCTTCAGCAGGCGGTAGACCAACGCTTCCAGCAGCACAGCATCATTGATGGCATCCAAACCTATGCCTGGCTGTTGGGGCCGGAGAAAAATTAGCAGTCAATCTCTGGCCTAGACTCATGCCAAGAACCATCACCCCAGACCCATCAGTCAAGCTGTATGTAACCACCTCCCTGTCGTCTCTTCCCATAGTCTCTTCCTGCGTCTCTGTAGTGAGAAGTGTGCCACCTCCTGCCCACTTTACCTTTTGATACCAGCAGGGCTGCCCCCGTCGGATAAGGGATGAATCCATTATGTCATCTAATATCAGGAAGAAAGCTTGGAGCTAGGAAGAAAAGGAAGAGTGGAATAAGACCCCCTAGGCTCCTTACTGTTGCCTCTACCAGAGGCAGAGCTGCTTCTGATCATCACACTCGGCTGCTCACTGAAAGGTTGGCAGTTCGAACCTACCCAACAGCTCTGTAGGAGAGAGATCTGGCGATCTGCTTCTCTAAAGATTACATCAAGAAAAGCCTATATAGGGCAATTCTGTTCTATCACATGGTGTCACTATAAAACAGAGTTAACTCGATGGCACACAACATGAGCTGGGAAAGAATGGCAGGATGGGGAGACTGAGCATGTCTGTTCTATCCTGTGTTGTTGTGTTGTGGAACCTTAGCAGATTACATGACCTCTTGGCTCAAACTCCCCATCTATAAAAGGGGACTAAAATCTAAAATTCTCTCTTACTTTCAGAGTAAGAGATGAATACATACATCTCTAGATAATCAGCCCTAGATAATCCCTGGCACCAGGGGTTATGGAATACCTTCACATACTGTACTCTTCTCTTGCCAAAAACTTCAGTTGGTGCTTAGAGTAAGATTTCTGCAAGCGGCTTGACTTTACATGACTCCTTACATAATGAAGGCTGTTCTTCATCGTCCCCAGGCACTCGGCTTAAACAGTTCAGTGACAAGGAACACAGCCCCAGCTAAAGCAGGCCATGTGGGGCACAGGTCTAGGAGGACAGAACTGAAGTCTGACTCCTGGTAACTTCCACTCACATAGGTCTTAGTTTAGCAATCTTGAACATCAGCAAGCAACTTACTCTTCTGAAAACTGTGTTCTCTGTCTTTTGGCATTTTCCAGGCCTCTCACCCCAGAGTAGGGGGTTCAATAAACGTTTGTTGAGTGAATAAATGAAAGAATGAGAACTCCTATGAAGCTTTTTTTTTTAATGCATTTTATTGAAATATAATTTATGTACAGTGAAATACACAAAACCAAAGTGACATGGGTCAATGCATGTTTTTCTTTTTTTTTTTTTTTGCAGTGTTCCTTCCCTTCCCCTTCCACCCCTGGCAA